TAATTTGGGCTGGAGATACAAATTTGGGAATTACTACCATATTGCTATTGGTAGATCATGTGATGGATGGTCAGAAGTCTGGATGAGTTCACTTAGGGAATGTAAATGAAAAAAGTTCAAGACTGAGCCCTGGGGCTCTTCAAATGTTGGAGAGATAAATTAGATTTAATGAAAGAGACTGGAAATGAGCAGTCAGTGAGGTAAGAAGAGAATCAGGATTGTGGTACCCCAAAGCCAAATGGAGAAAAAATTGTTTTTGCGACTACCCTGAGAGTCCAGTGCATAAGATTCTGTGCTTACATTGCTGGGGGTGTGGGTCTGATCCCTGGTTGGGGGGCTAAGATCCCACATGCTGTGAGAAGTGGCCAAAAAAAAAAAACTGTTTTAAGAATGAAGCTAAGACTGTCAAATACTTTATATAAATTAAATGAGGTGACCATTGGATTGATCACTGGATTTAGCAATGAGATAATTGGTGACCTTGATTAGAGTAGTTCTGGTGAAGTGTGGGATGTCATGGGTAAAAACACAATTGGAGTAGGTTCAAAAGAGAAAGGGCCCAAATGTCTATCAGTGGGAGAATGGATAAATAATATGTGATTTTACCTGTACAATGGATTACTCTTTAGCCATAAAAGGAGTGAAGTACTGAAACGTACTACATCTTTTTTTTTAATTGAAGTATAGATGATTTACAGTGTTTCAGGTATATAGCAAAGTGATTCAGTTATACATCCATATATATATATTCTTTTCCAGATTCTTTTTTATAATAATTACAAGATACTGAATATAGTTCCCTGTGCTTATTGTTATCTACCTAGTAATTTATATATTGTGCATCTGTTAATCCCAAATTGCTAATTCATCCTTCCCTGTCTTTCCTCTTTGATAACTATTAGTTTGTTTTTCGGTATATGTGCTGCTGAAATGAGCACAATAATAGCTGTTAGTTTGTTTTCTGTGTCGGTGAGCATATTTCTGTTTTGTAGTTAAGTTCATTCATGTTATTTTTTAAGATTCTACATATAAATGATAAATTTGTCTTTCTTTGACTTCACTTCACTTAGTATGATAATGTCTAGGCTCTACCACATCTTCTTAAACCAGTCATCTGTTTTTGGGCATTTGGATTTTTTCCATGTCATGGCTATTGTAAATAGAGCTGCTATGAACATTGGGGTGCATGTGTTTTTTTGAATTTAGAGTTTTTATCTTTTTTTGGATATATACTCAGGAGTGGCATTGCTGGATTATATGGTAGCTCTAGTTTTAGTTTTTTAAGGAACCTCCATACTGTTTTCCACAGTGCTGGTACCAATTTACATTCCCACCAACAGGGTAGGAAGGTTCCCTTTTCTCTGTACCCTCTCCAGCATGTGTTATTTGTAGACTTTCTGATGGTAGCCATTCTGACCGGTGTGAGGTGATACCTCATTGTGGTTTTGATTTGTGTTTCTCTAATAATTAGCGATGCTGAGCATTTTTTCATCTGCCTGATGATCATCTGTGTGTTGTCTTTTTTGAAGAAATATCTTCTTAGGTCTCTGTCCATGTTTTGATTTGGTTGCTTGTTTTTTGATATTTAGTTGTATGAGCTGTTTGTATACACTGTATTTGTGTCATATATAATGAGATATTAACCCTCATTATAGTTTTAATTTGGATACTTATTACGTGTCTGTTAGTCGCTCAGTCGTGTCCGATTCTTTGAGACCCCATACACTGTAGCCTGCCAGGCTTCTCTGTTCATGGAATTCTCCAGGCAAGAATACTGGAGAAGGTTGCTATTCCCTTCGCAGGTGATCTTCCTGACCCAGGGATTGAACCCAGGTCTCCTGCGTTTCAGGCAGATTCTTTACTGTCTGAACCACCAGGGAAACAATACTATGAATCAGGCTAAATACCTTTTTATATATTTCACTATACTTTATATATATATTTTTTGTAATCTGATGACATATTTTGATTATTTAAAAAACTGAGTTTTGTTTATTGATTCAAGGAGATTTTATATGTAAATGAAATTAGTTCTATATGAGTTTGGGCTTTCAGGTGCTTCAGTGGTAAAGAATCCACCTGTCTGGGAATGCAAATTAGTACAGCCACTATGGAAAACAGTGTGGAGATTTCTTAAAAAGCTGGAAATAGAACTGCCATATGACCCAGCAATCCCACTTCTGGGCATACACACCAAAGAAACCAGATCTGAAAGAGACACGTGCACCCCAATGTTCATCGCAGCACTGTTTATAATAGCCAGGACATGGAAGCAACCCAATGCCCATCAGCAGATGAATGGATGAGGAAGCTGTGGTACATATACACCATGGAATATTACTCAGCCATTAAAAAGAATTCATTTGAATCAGTTCTAATGAGATGGATGAAACTGGAGCCCATTATACAGAGCGAAGTAAGCCAGAAAGATAAAGACCATTACAGTATACTAACACATATATATGGAATTTAGAAAGATGGTAACGATAACCCTATATGCAAAACAGAAAAAGAGACTCAGATGTATAGAACAGACTTGTGGACTCTGGGAGAAGGCGAGGATGGGATGTTTCAAGAGAACAGCATAGAAACATGTATATTATCTAGGGTGAAACAGATCACCAGCCCAGGTTGGGTGCATGAGACAAGTGCTCGGGCCTGGTACACTGGGAAGACCCAGAGGGATCAGGTGGAGAGGGAGGTGGGAGGGGGGACCGGGATGGGGAATACATGTAAATCCATGGCTAATTCATTTCAATGTATGACAAAAACTACTGTAATGATGTAAAGTAATTAGCCTCCAACTAATAAAAATAAATGGAAAAAAAAAAAAAAAGAATCCACCTGTCAATGCAGGAGATGCAGGTTTGATTCCTGGATAGGGAAGAATCCTTTGGAGGAGAAAGTCACAACCCACTCCAATATTCTTGCCTGGAGAACCCCATGGACAGAGGAGCTTGGTGGGCTACAGTGCATGGGGTCGCAGGTTCAGACATGGCTGAGCATAGTGGCCTGTGCAGAAATCAGGTTGTGACCTTTGGCCTCATTTGCCCCACCAATCAGCTCCAGCCTGCTCTCTGGCAAGCTCCCCCGCTGCTCCTGATACAGTTCCGGCCCCTCCCCACCAATGTCCTCTTCAAAGAGGCCCGTCTCAGCCGTGCAGGAGTGGGGAGGGGTGCTTAATTACCTTACTGTCCATTCTTATTCAGCCTAGAGGCAGTGGCTCTTTTTTCTTTTTTTCTGGGGTTTTTATTGCCCTGCTACTTTTAAGTCCTTTTTTACTCTGAGTATTTTGTGACCACCAGGCTCCTCTGTCCATGGGATTTACCAGGCAAGAATACTGGAGTAGGTTGCCATTACCTTTTCCAGGGGATCTTCCCGACCCAGGGATCAAACCCTGGTCTCCTGCATTGGCGGCAGATTCTTTACCATCTGAAATACAAGGGAAGCCATTTACTTCCTACTAGTTAACAGACAATTCACCCTACTACATTTTCCCTGCTCAAATAACTGGTTTGATTTCTACTTCCTGATTGGACCCTGACTGATGTATACTTTAGGACAGTACATCTTCTAAGGTTTCAAAGTATTCAACAGTGGTTCATGAATGCTGTTAATTGTGGAATAAACAGAAGTAAAAACAAACAACCCCCTCCCCATTATGGATCTCACATTCTTGTGGAGGTGGTATCCTAAGACTAAGTAAGATCTGTATATATAGACTCTTATTAAACATCTCAAAGCAGGTTTCTCATTTACCCCAAGATAGTGCTTGGTTCATACAGGTGCTCAACAAACATCTGGTGAAGCAGGGTATGTTGTTGACATCCAGTAACCTTGGTAGGCTTGTTAGCAGTAAGATAAATCCACATGGGGTTGACCACAACAGTCAAGCCTCTGCCGGAGTCTTTTACATTCAGCTGCAAACACATCTCTTCCCTTTGCTCTTTGTTCCAGGAAGGCAATTAAACAAGCCTTTTCATCACTCCACTATTTCTAATGGGTATGTGGGTGGCAGGGAGCAGAGAAGAGGCAACCTTGAGATCCCAGGGAACCAAAGAAAAGTTATGGGCAAAAAACCCTCTAAATTGGCACAATTTAAATCTAAACTGGCACAATTGGCAAGGAGATCAAGTCAGTCAATCCTAAAGGAAATCAGTCATAATATTCATTGGAAGGACTGATGCAGAAGTTGAAACTCCAACACTTTGGCCACCTGATGGGAAAAGCGGACTCATTGGAAAACATCCTGATTCTGGGAAAGATTGAAGGGAGGAGAAGGGGATGACAGAGGATGAGATAGTTGGATGGCATCACTGACTCAATGAATACGAGTCTGAGCAAACTCCAGGAGACAGTGAAGGACAGGGAAGCCTGGCTTGCTGCGGTCCATGGGGTCGCAGAATCGGACACTACTGAGCGACTGAACAACAAATTGGCATAGCTTTACTTTCTCTATCAAAGTGTTCTCACTTAATTCTCACAATAATCCAGGAGATAGGTTTTATAATCTTCACCTTATTGATGAGGAAGTTGAGGGTCATCTGAAAGGTAATTTACCCTACAATTAATTAAAATCAACTAAAATATGCATCCAGGACTGAAGATGAAGTTTCTTGGTTAGTATGTCTCTCAGATGGTGGCAGTGAAATGATTTAGACACAGTTCCTATGGAGGGGAGTATCTGATGTACTCATTCTGAAAGATTCTAATCTTCATGGCATAAGACCACCCACAGATCTCATCTAATCATAGTCTTAAGTGCCTCTGAGGGTGGGTGAGGGGGGTTTCATTTTAAAAATTAGAGCATATTTGGAATTTAGGCTGTCTTGCCTATAAAATTAAGATAAATTTCTTCATAGTTCTCAAAAAATACAGATTACTTGTATTAAGAGCAAATCTCACTAGTATATCAATTACTATGATTTAAAAGGAATTATGTAGGTATGGAATAAACAAATTATGTTTTGGAAGTTTTCAACAGACAAAATACACCTAAAGAACATAAAAATTCTTTATTTAACCTAATCCAGCCAGTGTTGAGATAGTCTATGTTAAAAACAAGACATTTAAAAAAATTACAGCACAGTTAGCAAGGCAGTGACTAATTAAGTCACGCAGTTTAATTTTATATTCTTCACAGTCATTTGATAATCATGTAATGATGAACAATATTTTCTGCCACTTTTGAGATAAGTTAATTTCTGCAAACAAGAGAATCCTACTAGTTGTCACTGAATTTTATAAAAGAGGTTTAAAACATTAACATTTATAGAAATAACACAGTAAAGCAATGTGAAAATAAATTGGAAAACACAAATATACCCATCCATCCCCAAAGTCTAGAGCATTCCTTTAATCTGTCCCCTGGTGTTTCTCTTACTACCGCATTCCCTCTTCCTAGAGTTCAGCAATTGAGACATTACTACTCTGTAGGGGCTATTTAGAGCTTAGTTAAGGTGTCTCTGTTCCTTTAATTTCTCAGTTAATCCTAGAACCAGTCTTCTGAAACAAAGTATTACTCATATTTCAGAGATGAGGAAGACCATGGCTTAGAGGTAAGTTGCTTGGTCAAAGTCATACCTATAATTATTAAAAGCAGAATTAGGATTTCAACCCAGGTCCACCCAACTTTAGTTAGCCCATGATTTTGTTGCTGTGGTGGTGTGGGCCACTTTCTGAAGAGGCTGGTACATGGTACTTCTTGAGCTAAGGCTCTTTAGATTTCCAATGTTCCATCCCGGGGCTGAGGCTCCTCTGGTCCCCAGGCACTTGCGATTCCCCCCAGAGCCCTAGAAACTCCTTCTCCCTGCCCCCAAAGGATTAGAGCTGCTCCTCTGGCCTCATAAGCCCTGATGCCAAACAAACCCAAGCAGTTAGTCCCCCATTTTGGGCATAAAGTATTAAATGGAGAACTATGTGCTTGTATAACTTTAGTAAAGGCTGCCAGAAGTTGTTTTGTATAACAAAATTATGCAGGAAATAACGTCTTTTCATATCGAAAATTAAAGGAAAAGCCAACATACTTGATAATTATAGCTATATAATCTATTTTTATATATAATCATAGATTTTTGTATTTCCCCTTCAGAACTGTAGCAGGGTTCTTAATAAGGCTGTCAGTCAATATTCCCTTCCTAAGTAAATACAACTTTGAATGTTCAATAGTCATTCACATAAATTTCATGTTATTACTCAAAATTAAGACATTCATACTATAGAAAGATACCAGTCTTAAAATTACTAAATTAGCATACATCATTGCAGTCTAACAAAGCTCAATCTATATTTGCACAATCCTAAAGAAAAGTGGCCACTTAATTGGTAGGGGGAACATTCATATTGTCATGCATTAAATACTGTGAACTAGTAAATAAATAGGGTTTTTGGAACTATCTTTAAAAATTTTAATATTAATTCCTGAAAATAACTCCAAGACCATTCAGTTCGCTGAACATTAAAAGGGCCACTACTGAACAGCTTAAAATAAATAACTGCTTTTGAAAAATGAATATAAAACTACTTATACAGTGATTATTAAGGTGCTAGCCTCGATATGACAAGCAATTTAAATTTAAAAACATTAGTCATTTTTTTTCCTCATAATAATCTCACAAAAACAATGACTGTAATATTTTCTCAAGACTTCTTGTTTTCATAATTATTCCTCACTGACTGGTATAAAAACAAAGAGCTCAAGGCCTCACCTTGGTTTACTCACTGCTGGTTTTCTGTCTGTTGAAATTAGACTGTAAACTACATAAAAGGAGGAACCAACTCTGTTGTATTCACCACTGTATCCCACACAGCACTTTGCATAGTGCCTGGGCAAGCAGGAGGTGATCAACAAATACCTGAATAACTGAATCGATGAGAGAGAAGAGTAAAATAACTATTGATTTTCTGCAAATCGTTCTCTGTGCTCAAACTACTATAAACTGTCAGTTCTATTTTCTAGAAATATGAATTTAAAAAACTTTCTCTAGTGATGGAAGGACTTGATATCTGTGTCTCTGTGTTAGTTTGTCTGTCTCTCTCTCTCTCTCACAGGCGCGCACACACACACACACACACACTGAGATGTCAACATTATATAAATAAAATTTAATAGTGAAAAAGTGATCTGGAAGCCCTGTGAATTTTTACCCTACACATTTTGGAGGACGTCACATGGGTTAAGAAAAACACAACAAAACTGCATTTGTTCAGATAATCATTTGAATGTTTACATACATTTTTGGTTTGTTAATTATTTATAACTAATTTACATTTCCTCATATTAACATATACTTGTTTAGCTTATAAATCAAATTATGCCAGTGAGAAAAATCCTCACAGTACCTTCATTGAGTTGCTAATTCTAAGAAAACACTGAACATGAAATGTACAAAAGAGGCATTTGAATAAAACAGCATATGTATTTTTAAATATTTGCAGTTTGATTTTTACATTTCTGTCTTGAGGAAAATATGAACAAAACTCAGGTTCACCATGCTAAGATAATGGTTCAGATGACCGCCATGAAAGAAGTACATAACAAAACAATGAAAACAAATCACATCCTTAGGTTCCGTGATTACTGAGAGGGTTTCCCCTGCCCTAAGTGCTTTATTATATTTCTTAAAAATATGAGAGCAGCAGCTTATTACAAGTCTCCACTACTGTGCATCAATGATGGAATCAGAACAACACAACAGATTCATAAGAATGAGAGGACTGCAGAACAACGAGAAGTCACAGTTTTATGCTTCTTCTTGCTCTGGATAATTTAGAATTTTGCGGTGTGCCTGACGTAAATATTGCTGCTGTTTGAAGTAAACCTTGAACGCTCCTTTAATGGCGACAAAAGCAATTCCACCCTAAAATAAAAAGAAAAATTAGCTTTTTGCAATGCAGATTTATAGAAAATAAAAATCATTTTACTTATATCACAAAAGACATTGTCATTGTTGCTAATTCAGATGGCTGCAAATGAAACAGTACTCTTTTTTTTTTTTAATCAGAGAGTGAGACGGAGACAGACACTGCAGGTAATATGTCAGTGAAAAAAGTGAGTGTCAGTTGCTCAGATATGTTCCACTCTTTGTGACCCCGTGGACCTCTGTCCATGGAATTCTCCAGACAAGAATACTGGAGTGGGTTGCCACTTTCTTCTCCAAGGGATCTTCCTGACCCAGGGATAGAACCCATGTCTCCTGCATTGCGGAGATTCTAAAGCAGATTCTTTACCATCTGAACCACCGGGAAGCTCAACAGGTCAGAGATGCCTCATCTCTGAGTAATCTTCCTTCTACTTAGTTCTAATGCTCAGGCATTATATGCAGGCTACCTCCAGAGAGGAGAAGTGGAATAATAATAATGACATCAAAAAACATAAAGGCTTATTTATTACTCTGTGCTAACATTTCAAATGAATGATCTCATTTAACCCTCATAATTCTGAGGTAGCTACCATGACTATTTCCATTCTGCAAGCACAGAGAAGTCAAGCAATTTTATTTAGGTTTCTCAGCAAGGTAATGTCTCTGATAGGATTTGAACTGGGCAGTCTGACCCCAGAGCAGAAGCGCTTCACCAGTATTTTTTGGGAGTGATGACTCATGCCTAATTGAGGAGAGAAATCACCCACAGCATAGTTCCAGAAGGCCAGAGCTACTGTAGTGGGTCCACCTCTTTTTGTTGCTTTTGGATGACAGTGGGGATCAAACACAGGCTTAAGGCACAGGAGCAACAGGATAAAGATTTATACAGTCCCATTCTTTTTTTTTTTTAAACAAATATATAGTTCATTTTCTTTGTATAGTCACTTGAAAAAAGTAGTATTAAAGCCATCTTACCAAGATTGTCCTTTGTAAATTAGAGTTAACGCTACTGAACATTAGTTTACCAACTATTGTCGCAATAGTAGGAAAAACAAGGGCTCCACACAAAATTCGGGTGGCAGAGACATGATCTGCTAAAGGATTAGCTTCAGCTGGAATTCGAGGAACAGGACAACCAATCCCTAGAGAAAAAGATGGGAGGGTATGAGTGCTAATAAATCTAAAGCTAAAATATCTTTGCATGGTAGGATTCATCCACAAGATTAATTTGGTATGTTCATTACCACCATAATTTAGGGCCTTACCTGGGAATATACTGTTCAAAATTTGTAGTTTATTTGAGTATTTGCGCCAGAGTCTAAGCACATAGTCCTCCCAGCGAATCATCTTGCCTAATATCAGCATGACAGGAATAGTAGGAAGTCCAATTAAAAGGAATAAAGGATCAGCTCTCTCCATAACATCCAGACCTTCTTTATGACCTACAACCTGTGAAACAGATAGCATTTGCTTCAATCATTGCCTTGTCTAATGAAGGGGTGCATGCTTGAGTGCATGCTTGAATTGCACCACTGCTTGAGTAGTTCTAAACTACTAAATTTAGAAACAAAAAGTTTAAAAAATAAGCCAAAGCTGTTTCATATTAAATTGGCATAAAAGCTTTAAAACCCACATTGATAACATTTCAATGGAGCGAAGGGGATTTCTGCTTCTTGCTTATGTTCCTCTTATTTAATTTGGTTAGCTTGGGTTATAATTTTAGGTTCTCATGTATCTTTCCAAGAGCATTTGTTTTCCTGCTCTTCCTACCAGGAGGTAAGCACAGCCAGCCAAGGGGTGGGACCGATCTTCAGTAGATGGCCTGAAACCTCATTTCTCTGGCTTTCTCCCTGTTCAGTGGGAGCGAGTGTAATTTCTCTGGCTAGCCAAATGCTGGCTCTACAGACCAAACTCAAAAATGCAATTCCAAGGTCTAGATTTGAGGGAATGCAATAGGAGGTCCAGTTTTGGCTATAGGTTCCAGGCAGTTTTTCTAATTCAAGAACCCAAAGGTGCCTTTCTATGGGGTTGTAAAGCTTAAACAATCCTTTTCCTCTCATCTGGGTCTTGGGGTTATTTCTCAATTGTTTTAAGATCTGAGAAGGCAAAAAGGACATGATTAATTCTCATCTGTGAATCTCCACACCTCCCCTCCTGGTAGAATTCTTCTTACTTGCTCATCAATCTTGGCTTTACATGTCTCTCAACATGGCCATTCTGTTGGTGAGTGTCTTACTTTTAACTAGAATATGTCTCTGGAGTCTCTTTCACAGGTCTCAAATGACTTCTTTAGCCAAAAGTCTCAACTGCTCACAAATTAAATATATTTCTCTAAGGGATTATTCTTGGCAGTTATGACAGGGGAGACTATTTTAGAACTTCGGAGTTTGAGGCCATCCAGATATCATAGGTTGATATGAGGACAGTATTATGAAGGATTCTATATAGTTTTTCTGTATGCACTTGAGGATTACACCGTGAAGAAAGAACTGTTGATAGAGATAATCTGTATCTTTATCTGTCTATATCTCTGAGAAGGATGAGGGAAAAGGAAGGAAACGCAAGGAGAGAAGGGAAGAAAGAAGGTAGGGAAGACTAAAAGCCCTACAGACAACATTTATTTGGGAAAACAAACTCATGAAAAACTAAATGGGATCTTTTTTTAATTTTTTTTAAATGAGATGTCCTTTATGTCAGCTATTATAGCAGATTATTTTTTTTAAGGTGGACTTCAAGATGTGAAATAAGGAAGCTGACAGTGATCAGGGCAAATTAAAATTCTAGGCAACAGACTTGATTCAGGTAGAAATAGTTTATGAAACTATGGGAGCGTACCAAAGTGGACATTATTAAAGCTTCAACTAAGGATACAGCCCAGATTTTTGTACATGACTAATTTATCTAACCAAGATGTAACATTGAAGAGTACGGACCAGCCTCTTTCACATGGTCAAAACCCATGGTGTCAATATCTAATATTCTTCTGTGTCTCCAGGTACAGCTGCCCTAAAGTGAATTAGTCTGGTTCATAATATTTCATAAACACACATCCCACACATTGAGGGCAAAAGTGGATTAGCCCAGACTGTCCTTACCTATAATGCTTGCTCCACAACACCATTTTTTATATCATTATTTTAACATTATGATCACTTTATAACTAAATGTGACTTAAATACTTCTGGAGTGTTAGCAAATAAAATTCAGAAAACTGAAAAATTCTTTGTTGGGTTATGTCTTCTTTTTAGAATTTAGGTTTTAAAAATATAAAGCAGAGTGTGTATTCAGGTATGGACTATATATAGTAAAGGAAAATTTATTACTCATAGGTATCATTAAAATCTTCTAAACAGGTATCTAAGGATGAGGAAATAAAAAAGAAAATAGGGCAAATAGTGAGCAAAAGTCCATTTTCCCATGTGTGCTCAAAAGGCATGCTTTGTGCATTAAGTTGAGGCTGACCATTACATGCATACTCGCATGCATTCATTCAACTGAATATTGATTATGTGCCAGACATAGAACTTGGTGCTGGGAAATAAAAGGTGAACTAAAGAGACATCTTTTGGAGGTGACAGACAATCAGATCAAACAAGTGTACAAATATAAATGTTAAGGAACTAGGATAGTATAACATCTGCAGTGTCATACTACCTGCTACCACAGGTCAGAGTCAAGGGTAATAAATGAAAGCTGATTAAGCAATGGGGCTGATTTAACTTTGGTCAAAATGAAACCAGCAAACCTTGTGTAGAATCATGTACATTCTGGTTTTATGCCCTAAGATGGAAAAAGAGATTATTTTTAAGACTTAAATTTTGAGGTTAGATTCAGGAATGATAGAATGCCTTTGCTAAGAATTTCTTACCCATATATAAAATCAAACCTATGGAATTGTAGGTTTAGAGAAACTGTAGGCTAGTCTCCATAGTCAGCTAGGCCTGCAGTTCATCAAAGCTGAAAAGCTAAGAGTTTTAATTAAGGTCTGATCCTTTAAAGCACCTCCTATAGAACCCTACTTTTAAACAGTAGGATGGAACAGTGATGAACTAAAAGGTCTTCTTAGCATTAAGGATAATTAAACACAACATAATTAAGAACAGTCAATCCTGTGGTGGTTCTACACTAGAGGCAGATTGGTTGGATTGACAAAGAGAATGTAGTTAAAGAAAACAATCAAGAGGCTCCCTTAGCCATCCAGGTATGATGGGGGTGGGGTGGGGGAATGACAGTAAGTCAGGCATTAAAGACAGTGGAAAGAAAGCCATAGATGTTAAGACATATCAAAATGGAAACTGCTTGGACTTGGTCAGTGGACTGAATATAGGGCTTTGAAACAGAGAGAGTTAAAAATAAAGGTAATCCTAAGAATGTAGGCTATTTATTGAGTAGATGGGAAAATAACTGTAGGAATCAAAGAAACAGAGAAATTACAACAGGGAATAAATTTAGGCTTCAAACTGAGGGAAAGACAAGTTTGATTTCAATAATACTGAGTATGAAGTCACAAGAAGTCATTTAAGGAGAAAGGCCATGCTGCTGTTATAGGATTGATTTTACGAAAATATTAAGATGAAAGACATAATCTGAACACAAAACTCATGGTTAAGACAGGTAGAAATCTTTAAGGAAAAGGTATAAAGAGAAGAGTCAAGGGCTTGGGACTAAATAAATCTTGAAATTTAAGTCTCTAATTTCTATCAACAATGATGTAGCACTGTTTTGTAATAGCAAAAAACTAGAAGTAACTAAGTGACTGATCAATAAGAGACTCTTGAATGGTTGAAATTCTATACAAACAATGCTATACAGATTTCTCTATACTTTGTGAAAAGGTCTGTAAAATTCACTGTTTATGGAAAAAGAGGGATTCAGCTCTAATGTTTCCTTTTGGGGGGAAAAGAACAGTGTGTGTGGAAGAACATATTTTTTCTTACATATGCACAAATAAAGTCTGGAAGGTTTGGGTTAGGCAGTGGCTACCTGGGGAGAGGGGAACCTGGACAAGTGAAGGAAGGGAGTAAGAAGACTTTCCCCTAGAGAGCTTTTTATATATTTTCTTATTTTTAAGCCATGAGAAAGTTATTACTTGGTCAAAGTAATAATTTTTAAAACTCCTAACAAAAATCTATTTTTTAATAGATCTTCATATCAAAAGTAACAGCATCTGATAGAATAAAAGTGAACCTGCATCACTGTCACTGCTCCGTAAGTCACAGCCGTCCAATAGATGGAGCCAACCATTATTCCTGCTGCAGCAAAAGGACAGGCTTTTGAGATCAGTCTATCTGCAAGATCCAAGACATAAACAACTGGACCTATAATATAAAGAAAACAAAGTTTCAACATAAGACAGATTTTTTAAAAAGATCTGTTCAGTATCCACAGATACAAAATATTTTTATGAAGTTGCATGCACTGATGCTTTAGAAATAACTTTTATTATAACAGTTATGTTATAAATGTAATGGGAACCTATATTTAATAGATTTAGAATTTCTCAGTCATTTGCATGAATAGCTAAGTTTCACTTCCTAAACCCTAGGAATTTTCAAATTTTTATCCTCTTCAATTTTTAGCCTCTTCAAATTTTTATCTTTAATAGTAAACCTAAAATTAAAGCCTCAAACACAGCTGCTTTTTATAAAAGAAACTAGTTCTCTTGTTTCTCTTAATGACACTGAAGACTATAGAATGACATAGCATTTCAACCTGCTCTCCATAAACAGTTCCTGGCCACAGTTAAGATTCTATATGACACTTGGTTAAGAGTGTCATTTTTTTTACTTCACTTACTACTTCCTTGATAGTGTGTGAAGGTAACCAAGGCCATTTTCCTGTAGTTACACAAGTCTATCTTACTTTGATATCAAATTAAGTTGAGTGTTATTCTCTAACAAACAATTTTTAATGATCATGCCAGTTTTTGTGGCATTCTAACAGCTCAATGTGCCAATTATACCTCTATTATTACGTATTTACGAAGTGAACTTTGGTTACTACCTCCTCTGGTAGTTATCTGGAATAACTACCTGAAGGAAGTCTAATAACTGCCATTAAGCCTGATATAATTTAGCTCTAGAATCTCCTAGAATAGCAGAAAAGCCTCAGAACGGATTTACAGCAAGGCCTAATGAGCTGAATATGTAAGTTTAACTAAGGGATCATAAGAGTCTTCACTTAGTAATCATCATATTTGTTGAATGCTCTCTATGTACAATGTACTTAGGACATTTCCTCAGAAATGTTTAAGAGCTGAATCTACCCCTGAGAGCTTGCAATCTATAGGAGGATGCTGTACACAAAGCCAATATATTTTTCAGTATACAAAGAAATTCACATAGCAATATGGTGATAAAAGCACTACAAGAACAAGTATCCATCTATGGAGCTCTAATTCATAGTTCCTGATTTCTGGAGCCAGTAATATCACTAATTACTGTGAGAGAGACCATATTGTGAAGAAGAAAGGGCACTAGGAGAGATGTCAAAGGGACCTATGATTTAAATTCAGCACATAAACTTACTGTTGTCAAAGTCTAACTTACGTAACATTTAAAATCATGGCAAGTTACCTTTTGGGACCAAAGAGAAAACGTAAGCCTAGTGCAGTGCATACTGATGCTACATTCTACACGACAGCAGGCGTTGTGTGATACATTACATGTATCATTAATCAATCTCATAATGTAGGGTTTAACCCTTAAAACACAAATTTGCTGGGTTAAGTTGGTAACTCCCTCAGAAGGCACAATAAAAAAAAAATTTTAGTGAGTCTTCAAAGATCTCTGAAATGCTAGTACCAAAAGTTAAAGCCAATGGGTAGACATAAAACCTCAAAACCAGCTTTCAAATTCTCTACTGTTAATTCTTTAGTCAGAAAATTGAAGCCACAAGAGAACTACAGACTCTTTACAGCACATTTCCATCTACCAACATCACAACTATCCTATCTGGTCAGTCCCTTCACTCTAGATCCCATCCCCTCACCAACTCAAAGACATGGCTCCAGCAATTCACTCCTCCCCTCATACAGCATTTCTCCCCTATCCTTTATTGGATTATTGTCATCAAACATGTCATTATTTCTTTTACTTAAAAAACAAACACACCTTTTTTCTTCATCCTTTCTTCCCACTGCTCCATTTATTTGCTCCCTTTACAACAAAGTTACTCCAAAGACTTCAGTTTCCATTTTCTCTCCTTCAATCCTCTCTGGAACTCACTCCATCAAAACTGCTCCTCAAGGTCACTAACAAGCTACAGACAGCTAAATCCAGTGGTCTAATCTCAGCCTTCCTCTTATTTGGCCTACCACCAACATCCAACAGATGTCCCCTTTTTCCCAATATATGGTTCTTCATGGCATCTCCAGGACTTCACCATCTCTTGGTTTTCTATCTCACCAGTCATTAATTTTTCAGTCTCCTTTCCTGGTTCCTCTTTTTCTTGACCTCAGTGAGGCCCATCCTGTCAACTTCTACTTCATCATATTCCATATTTGATTACTCAGCTATATTTTTCTTTTTCCCAAAGCATCACCTAACATACTCTAATTTCCTTATTGTTTCTACCTACTAGAATAGGGGTTGAGAAACTATGGCCCATGAGCTGAATCCACCTTGCTGTTTTTGTAAATGTTTTATGGCAACACGGTGACATGCAAAGGCTACAACACAGCTAGTTGACTCTTAAACAACACGAGTTTGAACTGCATGGATCCACTGATACTAGGATTTTTTTCAACAGCAAATACTATAGTTCTATATAACGCTCTATTGGTTGACTCTGTGGATTCGGAGGGATATGGAGGAGCTGTGGATGGAGGACTATAAGTTTATATGTGGACTTTCGACCACACAGAGGGTTGGCAACCCCTCCCCCTCCCTACACTGTTCAAGGGTCAGTTGTATTTACTGTTTTTTTTTTTTTTTAACAGAAAAAGTGTTCTGGCTCCTGAACTAGAACACAAGATCCAAAGTGAAAGTAACCTTTTTATTTTGCTTATTGATGAATCCCAAATTCCTATGATTCTCAAAAATTTGCTTAACTTTCTACTGAGGTACTTAAACTATGATATGAAAATCCCTAGGTCTTCCTTTTTCATTATTTTGTATGAAGCCCAAGTTATGAGATTATTTTCTACACAGTCAGAATCAGAATCTATTAGAAGAGAAGGTATTTTACCTGCTTCCAACTGACCTCCTCCCATCCCCTATCTTTTCAAAAAGGGTGCTTGGAAAGATCTACTGATGGAGCAAAGTAATAGGTCATTTAGATGAAAACATAGTTCCTAAAAAGTAATCCATCACTACCAATTTTATCTGCTATGAACACGGACAATATAGAGATATCTGAATTCTTTCCTTTAAATATCTCAGAAGGTTTCAACACAATAAGCTCGATTTTCAATTTTCTTCTGAATCACTGGATATGAATTTTTTCTGTACAAACTGAACAAACAAATCCTCATACTTCCTTCTGGAATTTTTTTACTCATCCCTTGTGTCACATGCAACAGATGTGCTCGATTAAATGAAGACACTAGCTGCATTTTATAATTCCTATTTCCAGTTTTTCTGACAAAACTCTGTCTAGGCTTTTAAGTTTTTTTTGCCTAAACCTCTCAAGTCTCTTCCAGGCAGACTAGTCCAAGATTAGTTTAGTATTTTAAAGGAGAATAAACGCCTAGTGGTAAACATTACCATAGAAATATAAACTGCCAGGTATGTCTTTCTGACAGCTAAAGATTATCTAGGAATATCTTACTTGATGAATAAGAATAATCACCAAAATCCTCTGGATGTAGTCCCTCAATAATACTTTTCTTATTAGGAAGCTTATCATGTGTTACTATGCCATGAGTTGAGGTCATAAAAGGAAAAGTGTAACAGTCACTAGATTCTTCTCATTGTTAATATTACAGTGCAAACAGTTGCAGGAAATGAGAAAAGCCAAGACTCTTGCTCTTGAAAACCTCAATTCTAATGGAGAGGAAGAAGTATGACTGAATGTAAATCACAAATATTTAAGAGCATAAAAAAGTTTTAGTATTTTAAGAAGGCATTAATGAATTTTTAATACTAAGCTGGCTTCACACTTATGTTTCCAACAGTATTGTATTTACATAATGAATGGCAATTGGAGAAGCTATGTATAAATACAAGTTTTGAAAATTCAACAATTTGTTTTTTTTTAATTTTTAATTTTTTCATTTATTTTTATTAGTTGGAGGCTAATTACTTTACAATATTGTAGTGGTTTTTGTCATACATTGACATGAATCAGCCATGGATTTACATGTATTCCCCATCCCGATCCCCCCTCCCACCTCCCTCTCCACCCGATCCCTCTGGGTCTTCCCAGTGCACCAGGCCCGAGCACTTGTCTCATGCACCCAACCTGGGCTGGTGATCTGTTTCACCCTAGATAATATACATGTTTCGATGCTGTTCTCTTGAAACATCCCACCCTCGCCTTCTCCCAGAGTCCACAAGTCTGTTCTATACATCTGAGTCTCTTTTTCTGTTTTGCATATAGGGTTATCGTTACCATCTTTCTAAATTCCATATATATGTGTTAGTATACTGTAATGGTCTTTATCTTTCTGGCTTACTTCGCTCTGTATAATGGGCTCCAGTTTCATCCATCTCATTAGAACTGATTCAAATGAATTCTTTTTAATGGCTGAGTAATATTCCATGGTGTATATGTACCACAGCTTCCTCATCCATTCGTCTGCTGATGGGCATCTAGGTTGCTTCCATGTCCTGGCTATTATAAACAGTGCTGCGATGAACATTGGGGTGCACGTGTCTCTTTCAGATCTGGTTTCCTCGGTGTGTATGCCCAGAAGTGGGATTGCTGGGTCATATGGCAGTTCTATTTCCAGCTTTTTAAGAAATCTCCACACTGTTTTCCATAGTGGCTGTACTAATTTGCATTCCCACCAACAGTGTAAGAGGGTTCCCTTTTCTCCACACCCTCTCCAGCATTTATTGCTTGTAGACTTTTGGATAGCAGCCATCCTGACTGGCGTGTAATGGTACCTCATTGTGGTTTTGATTTGCATTTCTCTGATAATGAGTGATGTTGAGCATCTTTTCATGTGTTTGTTAGCCATCTGTATGTCTTCCTTGGAGAAATGTCTGTTGAGTTCTTTGGCCCATTTTTTGATTGGGTCATTTATTTTTCTGGAGTTGAGCTGGAGGAGTTTGTTGCGAGGGAAACATGGAATTAAAAGAAAATCTATTGTGAATTCTTTTGTACAATAAAGCTATAAAGCTTCTGTAAAGAAAATAACTATACCTAATATTTT